TGGTACGACCATTTTTAGCGTCTGGTTGAGTATACGTCAGAATGCTTGGAGGAGTTTGCTCAATTTACTTCCCACTTTTTCTTTTATGTATTTTGCATCTTGAGGTTATCCTGAGATGATTTCGGGGCTTAGCGTCCCCGCGGCCCGGTCCTCCACCAGGCCTCCTTTTTGTTACATACCCCCAAGGAAGCAGCCCGTAGCAGCTGTCTAACTCCCAGGTATGTATTTACTGCTAGGTAACAGGAGCATGTGGGTGAAAGAAACATTTTGCCCATTTGTTTCAGCCTCCACCGGGGATCGAACCCGGAACCTCAGGACTACGAATCCGAAGCGCTGTCCACTCAGCTGAGAGGGGCCCTTAGTTCAAGGGCCTGTGCATAGATTGTTATTTTATCCCAGTGGTTGGGCACCATTCCTTCCCCCCCCCCCCCCCGTCCCATCCTAAATCCTTACCCTGATCCCTTCCCCAGTGATATATAGTAGTAATGGCTTGGCGCTTTCTCCCTGATAATTAAAATATATATATATATTATGTGTTTTGCATAGTTTATTGTTATTTTATGTACTTTGCATAGTTTATTGTTATTTTATGTACTTTGCATAGTTTATTGTTATTTTATGTACTTTGCATAGTTTATTGTTAAAGAGTGATGTTTAAAGACATGTTTGAGTATTACCATCAGAATGTTGACTTGATAAAGTCTCTCTAGATTACAGCGAATTTCCTCCCTTCTAAATGTCAGTTACAGTCTGTCCTGTACCGGCTACTGCTTAACCGTCGACTGGTAAGCACTTCATGCCCCCCCCCCCATACACACACCAAAAAAAAAAAAATGGTGTGAGTGGGGAACTAAACAGGATGGTGTTTGTTGGGTGGTGTGTGTGTGTGTGTGTGTGTGTGTGTGTGTGTGTGTGTACTCACCTATTTGTGCTTGCGGGGGGTTGAGCTTTGGCTCTTTGGTCCCGCCTCTCAACAGATCAATCAACTGGTGTACAGGTTCCTGAGCCTACTGGGCTCTATCATGTGTGTGTGTGTGCAGGCGTCGGACAGCACCATTGGTTGGGTGACCGTTTGAACTTTACCGTCGGTCAAATATATCTCCCGGCTTGAAATAGACGCGGGAGAGAAAAGTGCACAGGTGTTGAGATGAGAGGCTATTGGGCACTGAGGAGGTACAGCGGGGGGAGGGGGGGTAGCCGAACACCGTAGCCGTTCGTCTAGCTGAACACTGGGCTAGAAGAACGTTAATCCCGCACATTATGTACACAGTGAGGGCCTTCACCTGCCACACCGTTCCGTGTACCAGGTGAAAGTCCATATTTATGGTATTTAAACACATTCGCGAATTAGATTCGTAATACAATTTTCTGTTTTGCAGGTAAGAGAAGAGAGGACCGTAGCCCCTGAGTCTGGTCCAGGGCGGAGTAATTAACAGGTAAGAGTATAGACTCACTGTTTTATGAAGGAAGAGTTGTATAAGAAAATATTGAGGAAGTACTTGAGTGTCCGCCTCTCGTCCGTGGACTCCCCAGGTGCATGCGCTACCGACTCAACCATGATGAGCTCGGCCTACGGGCCGTTCCTAGCAACAGTTTGGGGCCAGATTCACGAAAGAACTTACGCAAGCACTTACGAACGTGTATATCTTTCCCTCAATCTTTGACGGCTTTGGTTACATTTATTACACAGTTTACAAGCATGAAAACTTGCCAATCAACTGTTGTTATTGTTATAAACAGCCTCCTGGTGCTTCGGAGCTCATTAGCTGTTTAATAATTGGAAACAAAGCCGCTAAAGATTGAGAAAAGATGTACAGGTTCGTAAGTGCTTGCGTAACTGCTTCGTGAATCTGGCCCCTGGTGGACCAAACTCTCACAAGTCAAGCCTGGCCTCGGGCCGGGCTTGGGGAGTAGAACAACTCCCAGAACCCCATCAACCAGGTATCAACCAGGTATCGGTAGTGCGCGTGTGGAGTGTGTCTAGAGACGGGGGTTTGATCCCACCGTATTGCCGCTGTTTTGTTATTAGTTCATCGTGCTCTTGTTACTTCATTGTTTACTTTGTTGGTACCGGGGATCAATGTTCCCACGGCCCGTTCTCTGATCAGGTTTTCTGGTTTATGGTCTGGTCATTCAGGCAGAATGACATTGGACGCAGCTGCTTAGTCTGACATAGGAGTCACAGCCTGGTTGATCAGGCATCCTTTAGAGGTGTCTATGGAGTCTTTTTAGTAGTTGGGAAGACGCTCCCTGATCACTTTGGGTGATCAAGGTACATTAACTGCTCCATTTTTGCACATTTGTGCACATTAACTGCTCCATTTAACACCGAAGTTAAGGACTTAGAGAATGTGCATAGAATATTTCCTTCCCGAATTCATTCAATAAAACACCTACAATATTGGGACGGCCTGGAGTGACTCCCTGGGACGCTGTACGCGAGACACCACAGTCTGCATGATCTGTGTAGCGTTGTCTGCTCTCTACCTGTAAGTGTAACTTCGTCATGCCTCCCACGTATAAAAGGTACAAGTACAGTGGCAAATACAGTTACAACATAAAAGTACAAGTACAGACAACAGTACAGAAGGACCGTTGTCAGCCAAAGAACAGTTGAAAATATTGAGGTCATACAATGGGATCGCACCCTTGAACATAATTTACCTTGATCATACAGGTACAGCTGGAGGTACAGGTCCCCTTAATCATACCTGGTTGATACCTGGTTGATGGGGGTTCTGGGAGTTGTTCTACTCCCCAAGCCCGGCCCGAGGCCAGGCTTGACTTGTGAGAGTTTGGTCCACCAGGCTGTTGCTTGGAGCGGCCCGCAGGCCCACATACCCACCACAGCCCGGTTGGTCCGGCACTCCTTGGAGGAATAAATCTAGTTTCCTCTTGAAGATGTCCACGGTTGTTCCTGTAATATTTCTGATGCTCGCTGGGAGGACGTTGAACAACCGTGGACCTCTGATGTTCATACCTTACCTTGGTGGGGTTCTGGGAGGTCTTGTGGCCGCACAAGAACATACAGAAGTACCAGTACTGATACAGTACTGGCCTGATTACAGTACTGATACTGATTACAGTACTGATACAAATATTGTCACTCGATAACGGCGATATATTCATATGCCATACCCATCCACTTAAGAGTGGTACAGCGCCAGCCTCGCTTCTTGCAGGTCGACGTTCGATTCCCGATTGTCCATGTGGTTGTGCACCATTCCTTCCATCCGTTCTATCCCAGCTCCTTGTCCTCATATCCCTCCAAGTGCTATATTCTAATACTGTCTTAGAGCTTCCTCCTCATAATTACGTGACCTAATTAGCCGTACGCTAATGAGTTAACTGAGTGTCGATAGTCTTGATTTCTTGTACTGGTGAAAATCGTTTTGATTACATTCTCATCAAAATATCATGCAGTTAATTACAAACTCATAATGTGATGCTTTTTTAATTTTTTTATTAGATTCGCAAATTGCACATGTGTTTAAAAGTCCAAAAGCAATTTAAAGGGTGATTAATAGACACTTTTAATTTGATTGTTGACGAGACTTTTTTTTTGTATCTGTATGCCCGTCTGTGTGTAGTTACAACCCTCTCTCCCCCCTTTTCCCCTCCCTCTAACCCCCCCCCCTTCCTCCTCTTTTTCCTCCGCCCTTTTCGCTCTTTCCTCCCTCTTCTCCTTCTCCCTCTCCCTCTCTCCCTTCTCTCCCCTCTCTCCCCTCTCTCCCTCCCCTCCCTCTCCTCTGTCCTCCCTCTCCTCCCCACCCTCTCCTCTCTCTCCTACCTGAGGCCCGAGACTGTTCAACACGCTTCCACTACACATAAGGAGCATAACTGGCCGACCCCTCACAGTGTTCAAGAGAGAACTATCAACATCAGAGGCCCGAGACTGTTCAACACGCTTCCACTACACATAAGGAGCATAACTGGCCGACCCCTCACAGTGTTCAAGAGAGAACTATCAACATCAGAGGCCCGAGACTGTTCAACACGCTTCCACTACACATAAGGAGCATAACTGGCCGACCCCTCACAGTGTTCAAGAGAGAACTATCAACATCAGAGGCCCGAGACTGTTCAACACGCTTCCACTACACATAAGGAGCATAACTGGCCGACCCCTCACAGTGTTCAAGAGAGAACTATCAACATCAGAGGCCCGAGACTGTTCAACACGCTTCCACTACACATAAGGGACATAACTGGCCGACCCCACACAGTGTTCAAGAGAGAACTATCAACATCAGAGGCCCGAGACTGTTCAACACGCTTCCACTACACATAAGGGACATAACTGGCCGACCCCACACAGTGTTCAAGAGAGAACTATCAACATCAGAGGCCCGAGACTGTTCAACACGCTTCCACTACACATAAGGGACATAACTGGCCGACCCCTCACAGTGTTCAAGAGAGAACTATCAACATCAGAGGCCCGAGACTGTTCAACACGCTTCCACTACACATAAGGGACATAACTGGCCGACCCCTCACAGTGTTCAAGAGAGAGAACTATCAACATCAGAGGCCCGAGACTGTTCAACACGCTTCCACTACACATAAGGGACATAACTGGCCGACCCCACACAGTGTTCAAGAGAGAACTGGATAAACACCTCCAAAGGATACCTGATCAACTAGGCTGTGACTCATACGTCTGGCTGCGAGCAGCTGCATCCAATAACCAGTCTGGTTGACCAGTCCAGCAACGAGGAAGCCTGGTCGAAGACCGGGCCACCGGGACGTTAAGCCCCGAAACCATATCAAGGTAACCTCAAGGTAAACCGGGGTATTATTAATAGTTTGTTTTATGTCCTTTTTATCACTTAACAGTTGTTTTTATAACAAACTTTTCTCTCGACTATCAATTAGCTTTTCCTCCTACCCTCCCCCCCCCCTCCTTTTTCTGCCCTTTTTAGTTCTAAAAACTTGCTTGTAAAATTTATTACTGGCACTGATTCCAATTTAGTTGTATAAAAAATTGGCTTCCCGGAATGGGGCTGAATATTCTTAAACGGGAATGGATTGTCTCCGTGGAGCATGAAATTGGTGTGTCGTTGACGCTTTTGGTGTGTTGAGGCGAGAGAGCGCCAGAAATATGCTTACAAGATCAACATTGGTCGAGGATTTGTTGCACAAGTTCCTGGGGGGTTCGCTCCAAGCAACAGCCTGCTAGATCAAGTAATCAAAAGACAAGCCTGGCCCCAAGCTTGGCCTCAAGCCTGGCCCCAAGCTTGGCTCCTAGTTTCGCCCCAAGCCTGTCCCCCAAGCCTGCCCCCAAGCCTGGCCCCAAGCCTGGCCCCAAGCTTGGCTCCTAGTTTCGCCCCAAGCCTGTCCCCCAATCCTGTCCCCCAAGCCTGTCCCCCAAGCCCCAAGAACTCCCTAAAACCTCTCCAGGTATACTCCAGGTATGTTGGTTATCGATAATTGCTGTGAATATACCTTCAGCGAGGTTGCTCTTTGTGTCCATAAATATTGACAAGTAATTAGGAAAGTTTCCTGGGTGATGGGAGATGTAACTGTAGCCAGTTGAACTCCTTAGTGACCAGTTGTGTTGTGACAGTCATGGGGACGAAATTTGTGAAGCTACAGTCAGTATACGGACTGTCGATGAGAAGCAGTTAATGGAAAAACTTAGTATAATGCCGTTGTCTTGAATAGAGATGAAGGAAAGACCCAATATATGTGTAAGTGTATTAAAAACCAAATTTTTGGATGTAACCTACATCCTTTCTCAAGGTGCTGTATACAATGTTAGGAACACAAACTCCTAGAATCTTACTCACATGTCTGGCAGAGCGCCCAAGTAATTGGGTCTTTCTTTCTCCTTCAAGCAGTTAAATTTTTAGTTTTAAAGTCAGTTAGAGAAAAGACGGTGAGATGTATTAAAAACTTCGGACCCCAGGTATCTTGAGATGATTTCGGGGCTTAGCGTCCCCGCGGCCCGGTCCTCGACCAAGCCTCCCTGTTTATACACACCCCCATGAAGCAGCCCGTAGCAGCTGTCTAACTCCTAGGTACCTATTTACTGCTAGGTGACAGGGGCATCAGGGTGAAAGAAACTCCGCCCATTTGTTTTCGCCTCCACCGGGGATCGAACCCGGAACCTCAGGACTACGAATCAGAAGCGCTGTCCACTCAGATGTCAGGCCCTATATATATGGTATTGTGCTTACTCCTCTACTTTTCGGCATTTTCATATCAGACAGCCAAGGATACCTGGTTGATGGGGTTCTAGGAGTTCTACTCACCAAGCCCGGCCCGAGGCCAGGCTTGACTTGTGAGAGTTTGGTCCACCAGGCTGTTGCTTGGAGCGGCCCGCAGGCCCACATATCCACCACAGCCCGGTTGGTCCGGCACTCCTAGGAGGAAACTATCTAGTTTCCTCTTGAAGATGTCCACGGTTGTTCCGGCAATATTTCTTATGCTCGCATACGAACCTTGTGATCGTCTTTTGTGTGTGTGCGCGTGTGTTTACGCTCGCGCAACTGAGCCTTCAAGAGATGAAAGATTACGTGGTCCAAGTTGTGGATCCACACCTTGGACACCCTCCAAGGTGCAACCTAACGATAGAAGTTTCTTGGTTGATAAATTTTGGTTTGGCGCAGGAGGACTGGAGCAGATGGGGGTATCCTTGCAAGATCCTCCTCCATCTTGGTGGTGGCTCTTGCCTGGTCACCACCAGCTAGCACCAGCGGTGGCACCAAGGGGCCTAACAGCTGGGTGGACAACGCTTAGGATTCGTAGTCCTGAGGTTCCGGGTTTGATCCCCGGTGGAGGCGAAAACAAATGGGAAGTTTCTTTCACCCTGATGCCCCTCTTACCTAGCAGTAAATAGGTACCTGGGAGTTAGACAGCTGCTACGGGCTGCTTCCTGGGGGTGTGTATCAAAAAGGAAGCCTGGTCGAGGACCGGGCCGCGGGGACGCTAAGCCCCGAAATCATCTCAAGATAACCTCAAGATGTAACCAAGTCGTCCCAGGGTGTGTTGGCCTTCACCTCCGGTACCTGTACTCTCTCCATCCTCTTGGCGGCCAAGAGCAGGTACAGAGAAGTGAAGGTGGGAAGAGGCAGGAGAAGGGGGATAAGCAGGGGTTGAGGACGAGGAAGCAGGGGTTGAGGACGAGGAAGCAGGGGTTGAGGACGAGGAAGCAGGGATTGAGGACGAGGAAGCAGGGGTTGAGGACGAGGAAGCAGGGGGTTGAGGACGAGGAAGCAGGGGTTGAGGACGAGGAAGCAGGGGTTGCGGACAAGGAAGGAGAGGTTGAGGACAAGGAAGCAGAGGTTGAGGACGAGGAAGCAGAGGTTGAGGACGAGGAAGCAGGGGAGGACGAGGAAGCAGGGGTTGAGGACGAGGAAGCAGGGGTTGAGGACGAGGAAGCAAGGGTTGAGGACGAGGAAGCAAGGGTTGAGGAAGCAGGGGTTGAGGACGAGGAAGCAGAGGTTAAGGACGAGGAAGCAGAGGTTGAGGACGAGGAAGCAAGGGTTGAGGACGAGGAAGCAGAGGTTGAGGACGAGGCAGCAAGGGTTGAGGACGAGGAAGCAGAGGTTGAGGACGAGGAAACAGAGGTTGAGGACGAGGAAGCAGGGGTTGAGGACGAGGAAGCAGGGGTTGAGGACGAGGAAGCAAGGGTTGAGGACGAGGAAGCAAGGGTTGAGGAAGCAGGGGTTGAGGACGAGGAAGCAGAGGTTAAGGACGAGGAAGCAGAGGTTGAGGACGAGGAAGCAAGGGTTGAGGACGAGGAAGCAGAGGTTGAGGACGAGGCAGCAAGGGTTGAGGACGAGGAAGCAGAGGTTGAGGACGAGGAAACAGAGGTTGAGGACGAGGAAGCAGGGGTTGAGGACGAGGAAGCAGGGGTTGAGGACGAGGAAGCAGAGGTTGAGGACGAGGAAGCAGGGGTTGAGGACGAGGAAGCAGGGGTTGAGGACGAGGAAGCAGGGGTTGAGGACGAGGAAGCAGAGGTTGAGGACGAGGAAGCAGAGGTTGAGGACGAGGAAGCAGGGGTTGAGGACGAGGAAGCAGAGGTTGAGGAAGAAGAAGCAAGGGTTGAGGACGAGGAAGCAGGGGTTGAGGACGAGGAAGCAAGGGTTGAGGACGAGGAAGCAGGGGTTGAGGACGAGGAAGCAGGGGTTGAGGACGAGGAAGCAGGGGTTGAGGACGAGGAAGCAGAGGTTGAGGACGAGGAAGCAGAGGTTGAGGACGAGGAAGCAGGGGTTGAGGACGAGGAAGCAGGGGTTGAGGACGAGGAAGCAGGGTTTGAGGACGAGGAAGCAAGGGTTGAGGAAGCAAGGGTTGAGGAAGCAGGGGTTGAGGACGAGGAAGCAGAAGTTAAGGACGAGGAAGCAGAGGTTGAGGACGAGGAAGCAAGGGTTGAGGACGAGGAAGCAGGGGTTGAGGACGAGGAAGCAGAGGTTGAGGACGAGGAAGCAGGTGTTGAGGACGAGGAAGCAGAGGTTGAGGACGAGGAAGCAGAGGTTGAGGACGAGGAAGCAGAGGTTGAGGAAGCAGGGGTTGAGGACGAGGAAGCAGGGGTTGAGGACGAGGAAGCAAGGGTTGAGGACGAGGAAGCAGAGGTTGAGGACGAGGAAGCAGGGGTTGAGGACGAGGAAGCAGAGGTTAAGGACGAGGAAGCAGAGGTTGAGGACGAGGCAGCAAGGGTTGAGGACGAGGAAGCAGGTGTTGAGGACGAGGAAGCAGGTGTTGAGGACGAGGAAGCAGGGGTTGAGGACGAGGAAGCAGAGGTTGAGGACGAGGAAGCAGGGGTTGAGGACGAGGAAGCAGAGGTTGAGGACGAGGAAGCAGGGGTTGAGGACGAGGAAGCAGGGGTTGAGGACGAGGAAGCAGGGGTTGAGGACGAGGAAGCAGGGTTTGAGGACGAGGAAGCAGGGTTTGAGGACGAGGAAGCAGAGGTTGAGGACGAGGAAGCAGAGGTTGAGGACGAGGAAGCAGAGGTTGAGGAAGCAGAGGTTGAGGACGAGGAAGCAGGGGTTGAGGACGAGGAAGCAGAGGTTGAGGACGAGGAAGCAGGGGTTGAGGACGAGGAAGCAGAGGTTGAGGACGAGGAAGCAGAGGTTGAGGACGAGGAAGCAGGGGTTGAGGACGAGGAAGCAGGGGTTGAGGACGAGGAAGCAGGGGTTGAGGACGAGGAAGCAGGGGTTGAGGACGAGGAAGCAGGGGTTGAGGAAGCAGGGGTTGAGGACGAGGAAGCAGAGGTTAAGGACGAGGAAGCAGAGGTTGAGGACGAGGAAGCAAGGGTTGAGGAAGCAGGGGTTGAGGACGAGGAAGCAGGGGTTGAGGACGAGGAAGCAGGGGTTGAGGACGAGGAAGCAGGGGTTGAGGACGAGGAAGCAGGGGTTGAGGACGAGGAAGCAGGGGTTGAGGACGAGGAGAGGTGGGGAGGAGAGAAGAGAGGAGCGACCAGCCCTCCCTGTGGCTCTCACATTGTCATGCAACAGCAGAAAATCGCAGCATTAAAGGTGGCTTTCCCAGACCAGCTGAGGTGTTTCTCACAGTCTCCCCCTTGTGACGTGGGCCCCGTTTGTGCGTTGACGCCGGCGCCGTTTGTGCCTTGACGCCGGCGCCGTTTGTGCGTCGACGCCGGCGCCGTTTGTGCGTCGACGCCGGCGCCGTTTGTGCGTCGACGCCGGCGCCGTTTGTGCGTCGACGCCGGCGCCGTTTGTGCGTCGACGCCGGCGCCGTTTGTGCGTCGACGCCGGCGCTGTTTGTGCGTTATACTGTTGGTGATGCACCACCTTGTCTTGGCACCATGCAGGTGTGCCACGTTTCTGTAACTATGTCTAAGGCCTTCTGGCGGTGTGGGCCCCAGGACAGGAATATTGGGTAAACTCCAGCAGGCGGCCCCCAGAGTGTCCCAGGCACCCCCAGTGTCCCGAGCGGCCCCCAGGGTGTCCCAGGCGGCCCCCAGTGTGTCCCAGGCGGCCCCCAGGGTGTCCCGAGCGGCCCCCAGTGTCCGCGGCGGCCCCCAGTGTGTCCCAAGCGGCCCCCAGTGTGTCCCAAGCGGCCCCCAGAGTGTCCCAAGCGGCCCCCAGAGTGTCCCAAGCGGCCCCCAGAGTGTCCCAAGCGGCCCCCAGTGTCCCAAGCGGCCCCCAGTGTGTCCCAAGCGGCCCCCAGTGTGTCCCAAGCGGCCCCCAGTGTGTCCCAAGCGGCCCCCAGTGTGTCCCAAGCGGCCCCCAGTGTGTCCCAAGCGGCCCCAGAGTGTCCCAAGCGGCCCCCAGAATGTCCGCGGCGGGCCCCAGTGTGTCCCAGGCGGCCCCCAGAGTGTCCCAGGCGGCCCCCAGAGTGTCCCGAGCGGCCCCCCAGTGTGTCCCAAGCGGCCCCCCAGAGTGTCCCAAGCGGCCCCCCAGAGTGTCCCAAGCGGCCCCCAGTGTGTCCCAAGCGGCCCCCAGAGTGTCCCAAGCGGCCCCCAGTGTGTCCCAAGCGGCCCCCAGAGTGTCCCAAGCGGCCCCCAGAGTGTCCCAAGCGGCCCCCAGTGTGTCCCAAGCGGCCCCCAGTGTGTCCCAAGCGGCCCCCAGTGTGTCCCAAGCGGCCCCCAGTGTGTCCCAAGCGGCCCCCAGTGTGTCCCAAGCGGCCCCCAGAGTATCCCAAGCGACTCCCAGTGTGTCCCAAGCGACTCCCAATTAAACAATTCAATGTGTGGGCGAGTGTGAATGTGTGTAGTCGCCTAGTTGTGCTTGCGGAGGTTGAGCTCTGGCTCTTTGGTCCCGCCTCTCAACTGTCAATCAACTGATGTACCTACTGAGCCTACTGGGCTCTTATCATATCTACACTTGAAACTGTGTATGGAGTCAGCCTCCACCACATCACTTCCTAATGCATTCCATTTACTAACTACTCTGACACTGATAAAGTTCTTTCTAACGTCCATGTGGCTTATTTGGGTATTCGGCTTCCACCTGTGTCCCCTTGTTCGTGTACCACCCGTGTTAAATAATCCATCCTTGATTAACCTGTCAATTCACCTGAGAATTTTGTGTGTGGTGATCATGTCTCCCCGGGCTCTGTCTTCCAGCGACGTGAGGTGCAGTTCCCTCAGCCTTTCCTCGTAACTCATGCCTCTTACTTCTGGGACAAGCCTAGTGGCATACCTCTGAACTTTTTCCAGCTGCGTCTTGTGCTTGACAAGGTACGGGCGCCATGCTGGGGCCGCATACTCTAGGATTGGCCTTACATATGTGGCATACAAGGTTCTGAAGGATTCCTTACACAGGTTTCTGAAGGCTGTTCTGATGTTAGCCAGCCTCGCATGGGCCGCTGATGTTATTCTTTAAACCTGTCTCCCGAAGCATTTAATGCTTCGGGAGACAGGTTTGGTGTGATATCAACTCCTGTGTGTGTGTGTGTGTGTGTGTGTGTGTGTGTGTGTGTGTGTGTGTGTGTGTGTGTGTGTGTGTGTGTGTGTGAATATAGTACTAGGATACAAAATTTACAAGACTTCATTCATGCCAAAAGTTTTGGTATGTATGGAAGCCCTAAACCTTTTTGATTTGGGAATTTTACAACTGTTGATTGCTGCGAATTATTAACGAGGTCGTTTTGCTTAAAATCCAGCCCTTGATGACCCACTTGATTGAGTTCGTGTTTTTTGTATCTTGACGAATGGGGAAAGGTAAAATAATGAATGTTAACTTTTCGGAAATTAGTTCCCTGGGTTTGTCACTGATAAATATAACTTTTTTAAGTTTGCACCATCAAGTTGGGCAACTGATGACGAAGCAATTTATCAGTGGTATAAGTTAAATAAGTTTCGGGATCCTTGTCGAAAATATTAGTAATCTGGACCAGGATTCATTCACGTGTTCACTTACGAACAGCTTCCCACAATCAAGGCAGCATTGTTTGAGTTTATTAAACAGTTTACGAGCTTCGAAATTGAACAACGCAAGGTTATTATTGTTATAAACAGCCTCGTAGTGCTTCGGAGCTCATAAACTGTTTATTGAATGTATGTCAACATGTCAACGTTGAGAGCCAAGGGCCATACCACGTTGAGAAAACCGCTTCTTGTCCGATCAGCGAAGTTAAGCAACGTTGGGTTTGGTTAGTACTTGGATGAGTGACCGCCTGGGAACACCAAATGTTGTTGGCAATAATTTCCTTGCCCGAAACGCTGTGCATATTAGTGGCTTCAGGCATTGTATATACTAGCTCATTCTAGAAATCCAACATTGTAACTCATCTTGTATGTATGTACTTTTACCTGAATAAGTATTTAATTTGATTTGATGTAAGCAAAGCCGCCATGATTGAGGTATGACGAACAGTTTGTAAGAGGAGTCGTATATGCTTGATGAATCCCGGCCCTGTTCACCTTACCTTAAATTACTCGGTTTAAGGTATTGCAGAGTCGAACAACATGGGGCTTTGGCTGATAACAAATGACTGTTTTCAGTGAGTCAACCTGCGAGCAGCTGCGTCTAACAGCCTGGTTGGCCGAGCCACCAACCAACCAAGACAGGAAAAAGAAGGGTAGGTAGATTGCATTTTCCTAGACTGTCTCGATGCATTTAATGCTGTTGGTCACGAAAGACTGGTGCGGGACAAGATCGTCATACTCAGAGGGGAGGTCTCCAGCTGGAGGAATGTAAGTAGGATCGGTCCTGGGACCACTACTGATCCTAATTTATGTTAATGATTTACCAGACTAGAACCAACTAGGAAGGAGAACACGCTGGACCTCATTTTCACTAATAATGATGAATTTATCAGGAACATAATGATTACAAATACCTGTTACTCAGATCACAACTTAATTGAAGTTCTGACATGCATGGGGAGTAGACCTGTATAACCAGAGTCCTAGAGGAGGATAATTAGTCCTAGAGGAGGTAGAAATCTCACCTGAACTCAAGCTACAAGAATCATGCAAAACCCAGGAGAGGCAAAGAGAGCAAAAGCCATCAATGAAATAGAGAGAAATCCACTATTGCAGGCCCTTCACATTCTTACGACTGGAGACAAAAAGCTTAGATACTGGCGTTAACCCTGACATACTGAAAACAGCAAAGATAGCACTTAGATACTGGCGTTATCCCTGACATACTAAAAACAGCAGAGATAGCACCACTCCATAAAGGAGGAAATAAGGCAGAGGCAAAAAATTACAGACGGATAACACTAACATCGCACATCATAAAAATCTTTGAGAGAGTGCTAAGAAGTAAGATCACAAAATACATGGAATCACAGCATCTCCATAACCCCAGACAACATGGTTTCAGAACAGGGCGCTCTGGCCTGTCTCAGTTGCTGGACCACTATGACATGGCATTAGATACCACGGAAGACAAACGAAATGCTGATGTAATTTACACAGATTTTGCAAAAGCCTTTGTCTAATGTGACCATAGTGTCATTGCACATAAAATGCGTTCAAAAGGAATTACCGGAAAAATGGGCAGATGGATCTACAATTTCCTGACTAACAGAACCCACTGTGTAATAGTCAACAAAATAAAATCCGGTACACCCGTGAAAAGCTCAATCCCCCAGGGTACTGAGCCTGCTCCAGTACTTTTTTCTCATCCTCATATCGGACATAGACAAGAACACAACCTATAGTACTGTATCATCCTTTGCCGATGACACTAGGATTTTTATGAGAGTAGATAACATAGAGGACACAGCAAACCTCCAATCAGATGTAAATCAGGTCTTTCTATGGGCTACAGAAAATGTGCATGTGTCTTTTCCCTCAGTGATAAAGTAGCCGTCATATCGGACATAGACAAGAACACAACCTATAGTACTGTATCATCCTTTGCCGATGACACTAGGATTTTTATGAGAGTAGATAACATAGAGGACACAGCAAACCTCAAATCAGATGTAAATCAGGTCTTTCTATGGGCTACAGAAAATGTGCATGTGTCTCTTCCCTCAGAGAAATGCAGGGAACAGAAGCGGCCACTCTTCGTAGCCTTCATAGATCTGACGAAGGCCTTCGACCTCGTCAACAGGGATGGCCTGTTCAAGATCCTCCCCAAGATCGGATGCCCACCCAGGCTCCTCAGCATCATCAGATCTTTCCATGAGAACATGAAGAGCACCGTGGTCTTTGATGGCTTAACATCAGATTCCTTCGACATCCGAAGTGAAGTAAAGCAGGGCTGCGTCCTGGCTCCACTCCTATTCAGGATTTTCTTCGCAGTTATGCTGCAGCACGCCTTCGGATCTGCCACGGAAGGCATCTACCTCCGGACCAGATCCGATGGAAAGCTCTTTAACCTCGCCAGCCAAGACAAAGGTTCGGCTGAGGTGTCTGTGCGACTTCCTTTTTGCTGACAACGCAGCAGTCACTGCCCACTCAGCCGAAGACCTCTTACGGCTCATACCCGCTTCAGCGAGGCATGTCAGGCTTTTGGACTCGCCATCAGCCTGAAGAAAACACAGGTCATGGGAGAAAGAGTGGACTCCCCACCTGACATCGGTATCTCCGATTCCAAACTGAAAGTTGTTCACGAGTAAGTGTACTTGGGCTCCACAATCTCTGACTCCCTCTCTCTCTCTTGATACGGAGCTAAACAAACGCATCTACTGCCATGTCCAGACTGAT